CGAACACAAACTTGGACCAGGACAGCAACTTACCCATGGCAGAAGTTAGAATTCCCAGATGCCACCCTCCAAAGCTAACCCAAAGCTGACACCTCTGTCCCCAAATCCTCCTTGCTTCCAGCCCGGCACTGACCTGGCGTGACCTGCAGCATCTCGTGGTCAGGAGCTCCAAGCCCGCTCACCTGCAGGCAGAGGACTGGGCCGTGAACGGCGTCGGACGCAAAGGTGAGTTTGGGGGCTCAACCGCTGCCCCTCCTGGTCCTGCTTCCCTCCCCCGGCTGCGGGGGGACGTGCTGCCCCTCAGACCCCTCCAGGAGATCTGAGGCAGGAGCCCCCGGCGCGCTCTCAGCGCAGAGGGGCTCACGTGTCCTCTTCTCTTGGGTGACATCTGCTTCCCAGTGAGCCACCACTACGGCTACGGGCTCCTGGACGCTGGTCTGCTGGTGGAGATGGCCAGGGCCTGGACAGGAACTCAGCCTCAGCAGAAGTGTTCGGTCAAGGCTCTTCACGCCCCCCGGTAAGGGATGATCAACCCCGGGTGTGACCTCGGGAGAGCTCACACAGGGATTTTCTGGTGGCAAAGCAGTGTTGTGCCCACCGCAGGAACAAGTGACGCTTCCCAGAAAGGTGTTTGTGTCACACGGTGCCTGCTGCAACCACAGGGCTCAGGGGGTTGTCCCCCCAGAGGTCTCGGGGGGACGGGGGGTAGGACACCCCCAGAGGGGGACAAGATGCTCTTACCTCTGTCTTGGACCCACAGGAACATCGGCTCCAAGCTCACCATCTCTACAGACGTCTCCTCCTGCTCAGGGAGGACCAAGAGCATCCGCTCGCTGGAGCACGTCCAGGTCCAGCTCTCCCTGAGCTACAGCCGCAGGGGGGACCTGCTGATGGCTCTGACCAGCCCCACGGGGACCACGTCCACGCTGGTGACCGTGCGGTGAGGGCAGCTCACAGGGAGCATGTCACAGTGAGACCCACCAGCTGCCGGGGGGCAGAGGGGTCTCCTCCTCTCACAGCCTTCTCCTGGGGCTGAAGAAACTCCTTCTGGCCCCCACGGGGAGAAGACTCACCGGACCCAAACCTCCTCTGTGGCCCCTGCCACGTCTTGGCAACGCCTCTAGGGCTTCCTCAGGCTGCATCCCCCCCCAGCTCCAGCCCCCAGGCTCTCACTCCTGGCTCTCCTCTCCTCCAGCCCCTTTGACACCAGCCAGCAGGGCTACAAGGACTGGACCTTCATGTCCACACACTTCTGGGACGAGAACCCCAACGGGACCTGGACGCTCCACCTGGAGAACAAGGGCGATGCCTCTAACACAGGTGGGTGCCTTGGGGAGCAAACCCCATTTGAGGGGAGGGGGGGAGTCATCCAGTCATTCACTCTTCTTCCTTCCTCCACTTTAATTAGCAACTTGGCCATTCTCCCTGCTCCTCCTGGGCAGGTGACTCCTCTTTTTGAAGTCTGTGTTTGTTTTGACCCCCGACCAGCACACAGCCAGGAAGGGGGGCATGGCCTTAGCTCCCCCACGTAGCCCCAAAACTCCACATCCGCCAGCTCTGCCAAACCCTGGAGGGTGGAAATGTGGCTGCCATCATCACTGAGCCCTGTCCCTCCTGCCCCCCAGGTCTGCTGACCAGTGTCACCCTCCACCTCCACGGCACGGATGAGGACATGAGGGCCCGGCACCTCGCAGTCCCCGCCGTGGACAAGTGCGTCAGGCGGGACGCGCAGGGAACATGCCAGGGTGAGTCCTGGGGCAAGAGGGGACAGTGCTCTTGTCCCCAGATGTCCCCACAGCCCGGCTCATGTCACTGTCCTTCTGCAGAGTGTGGTGGCTCCCTGTACGCCCACCAGCGCTCCTGCCTGTCCTACTGCCCTCCACGCTTCTACAGCCGGACCCAGGGAGCCACCACCTCCACCAGGAACACAGCCCGTGTCTGTGCCAGCTGCCACCCCTCCTGCTACACATGCCAGGGCGCTTCGGCCACCAACTGCACGGCCTGTCACCCCCCTGACACCCTCGATAAGCTCACCAGCTCCTGCTCCCCCCTGCAGGGCTCCCCCCACAAGGAGAGGCTGCAGAGGCACCTTCTCCTCCTCCTCCTCATCTGTGGGACCCTGGTCATCTCAGCCACCTTCTGTGCCACCTACTATGTGGCCTTTTGCATGGTGAAGGGTAACTCCTGCTGTCCCCAGGCAGGAAAGACAGCGTGACACCAGCCTGGGCTGCAGAGAGGGACAGGCAGCACCATCCCAGCCTGGGATGAAGCTGCCCTCACCCGGCTTCCAAAATAAATTGCTTGTTGCCTTTCCAGACCACGCTCTCCAAAGGGTGACGTCCCTCCCCAGGGGTGCTGGGGCTGATCCCACCCCACGTCCAGCTCTGTGCATGGCCAGGGACACGGCTGGTGGCTTCCCTTCCCACCCAGCCTGTCCCCCCACATCCCCAGGGGACCCAGCCCATCACGCTGCTGCGAGGGAGCTATTTCCAGAAGGGCTGGGAGCCCTGTGTCCTTTCCCGGGGGTGGAGGGCCATGAAGAGGAGGAGGAGGAGGAGATGTGACTTCTCTCCACACAGCTGCACACAGTGACCACAGCCAATTCCTCCAGCACGAGCCCAGCCACGAGTCCACGCAGCTCCTGGCACGGGAGAGGTGGCCAAACGCCAACCCACGGCTCGGGGAGGGCAGCCCGGACCCCCACGGTGTGACCCCACGGCTCTTGTTTACCACCAGCCTTAAAAAAAAAATAAAAAAGGGGGAGGGAAGGGGTGTCCCAGAGGATTTTGCACCCCACAACCGCCCTGCTCTGCCCCACGCAGTGGGTACAAACGCCGTGCCGGGGGGGCTGGCAGCAGCACCGGGCAGCTGTGCCCCGGCACGCAGCGCGGCACCAGGCAGGGCCGGGACGGGCACGGGGAGAGCTGCCAAGCTGGGGCCCTGCTGGGGGGGCACCGGCACCGCACCGGGCTCTGGCATGACAGGGTGGGGGGCACTTTGTGTCGTGTCCCCATGTCCCCCCCCCCAAACACAGCGTGTTTGCGCAGCCCAGGAGTCACAGACCCACAGCGAGACCTTTGTCCGAGCGTTTAATCACCCGGGAATAAAGCCCTTGGCCGGACTTTCCGGAGCACGGGCAGGAGGGAGCCGGGACGGAGCTTTTCCTCAAGTGGCAGCTGAGAGCAAAGTCCCCCAGAGGGACCCCCCCAGCCCTGGGAGGGGGGGAAATCCATGGCTCGCAGCCCACCCGGGGGGGGGAGCAGAGTGTGGCTGCGGACACCAAGGGAGGGACCCGGGGACAACGGCTTTGCCAAAAAACCGGCCAGCCCAGTGCCACGGGACGAGTTAGAGCCTGGAAGAGCTGGAGCTCAGCTTCCCCCGCGCCGTGGGGTGAGCCCCACAGACCCCTCTGAGCACAGTGGGGGTTTTGGGGAGACCCTGGGGGGGTTTCTCCCTCCTGCTGCCCCCTGCCCCGTCCTAGTCCTCGGCAGGCAGCCTGCGGTGCGGGAACTGCCGCTGGATCTCGGTGCGCACGTCGTCCTGCACGGGGAGAGAAGGGACAGGGGGGCTCTGTGTGGAGAGGAGTCTGGGGGCACGGGTCTCCTCCCCATCCCCAGCCCCCCCCCTTTGGTCCTCACCGCCTGTCCCAGCCGTCCCAGCAGCGGGGTGAGACGCAGCAGCTCCTCATCCCGAGGGTCTCCCCACCACCTCGGCACCGGGATCCAGTTGGCAGCCTGGGGAGAGAGGGTGAACGCTGGCCACGGAGGAGCCACCACAGCCAGGGTGCTCCCGGGGCACACAAACCTGCCCCCCCACCATGAGAGCCAGTGTGGCTGGTACCTGGGCAGGGAAGCCCTGGATGGTGTGGTCCAGGGCCACCGTCTTGGCCAGGTCCCTGCCCAGGCGGGTCAGGTCCTTCCAGTAGCAGCCCCGGGCACAGAGACAATCCTGCTGGGAGAAGCAGAGCCTGGGGGGGGAGAGACAGAGCCCGTGGGGACCGGTCCCTGCCCCACACGGGGTGTCCCCAGTGGGGTTTCACCAAGGGCCATCACCTGATCAGCTTCTTCTTGGGGTCCAGCACATCCAGGACCTTCTTGGCATAGTCCTGCTTCGCGGTTGTGAAGATGCAGATCTGGGGGAGCAGGTGACGGTCCCTATAGAGGCTGCCCGAGTGCCCCCCACCCCGATGGGGTGTCCCCCCCACAGACCCCAGGGAAATGCAGGAGCTCCGGATACCTCGTAGGTCTTGGAAAGGTTCTCCAGGAACTGCTGCACGTGGGGACGCAGCTTCACATGGACCTAGAAGGGACCAGCACCATCAGGCAACCTCAAAAACCACCAGCATTCATGTTCTGACACCAAGGTGCCCGCCAACAGGGTGACCAGCACCCCCAGCAGGACCCTGGGGGCCTCCTCAGCCACCCCCTCCCCTGGGATTTCAGCCCCTGGGCCCCCACTTCCTCTTGGGCTACAAGGGAAGGGCACAGAGGCCACACCACGGCTGGTCACAGCCCTCCGTGCCCACCCCGGGGACCCAACACCCCACTGTCCCCACGAGGCACCCACCTCGTAGGTGTCTCCCTGGAAGACGGTGGTGAAGGTGGCCACGGCGCCCTGCTGCCAGCTGGCCAGCACGGAGGAGCAGACCAGCGTCCCCTCCTGCAGACAGGGAGGGGAGTCAGACCCCGGCCCCAGCACCGCAGCCCCCTCCCAGCCCCCCCAGCTCACCAGCTCCAGGACCAGGGTGCGCTCCGGGGTGCTGCGGGTCTTCCGGGGACCATCCCTGCCGGGTGCTGGCACCAGCCTGGCCAGAGGAAGGCAGAGGGTCGTGGGATGGATGCTGTGGGTCTGGGGGGCACAGGGACACCCCCCCA